AGGACCAAGCTATGCAGCCATTCAATAGCAAAAAGGCACCACCTGCTCACACTTCATTAGATGCCTCCTCCTAATAATTACACCAGAAAATACGTGGAAACTACAGGAAGTCATCTTGCTACTCACAAGCTACTCACTTTTGGTAAACTGCAGTTTGCATAAGTCACTAGAGCAAAGCTAGCTCTTTACATGTGTAAAGAAGAACTTGTTCCCTGGGTGAGGGCAGAAGAATAATACTGGACAGTAGCTAAATGTAGCAACGAAATGGTTAAACACACAGGAGCTGGGGCACATGGAAAATGAGAACCACATTTAAAGCTCTGCTGAGAACAATGTGTGAAAATAGCTGTTTCTGTCGCACGCTTTGTGTCTCCAGGGGTTTCTACAGAAACACTGTACAGTGCAAGATCATCTTCCTCATGCTGTCTAATATTTTCTGGAGACCATCGTCATTTTCCCTCCACCAGTACACTCATCTTGAGGAGGTGGAAGGACTCTCATCATTTGCTGGCAAAGCCCGAACTCCTTATTGGGTTATGAACACATCTAAGGACATGTGAGTTTGTCCTCTAGTTCCCTCAGTTTGCTGCATAGTGGGACAGGGCTACATGAATCAAATCAGAGCTACCATCTTCTGCTGCAGAATGTTTGCCAGTTACATGTAATATTGAAATGAATGAAACGAGAGACACCATTGGGAACAGTAGCGTGGCACTGTGGTTGCAGCACAATTTTTACATGTGATTTAGATAAAAGTTACCCTTGAGCGGTGCTAAGTAGTCGAAAGGAAGACAAAGTGGCAGTGCACTTTTCATTTGGAAACTGCTGTTTTCCTTAGGGGGTAGGGGGAAGCCTCCTCTGAAACTTGGGACATTTTCCTAGCTCACAAGGGATTGTATTTTAAACACGTTTTCTGTCTCATCAATGCTATAGCACATCTATCTAAGACACTGCTATGGATAACAGATAGGAGAAAGGAGAGAATTACACCACTAATTCAAGCTTCACATAGCAGGCTGCATTAAATTTACAGTCTTTTCATAGAAAAATAGGAAGAGGGCTGAAACACACAAAATCAGAGCCATGCCACTTACACTGAAGATGAACGGAAACATATTACGAACAAGGTGCCCCTAGCACATTCAGAACTACCTACAGACACATTAACTTTATTCTAGTGGAGGGTGTTATTAATTAGTTGAATCCCTGAGATTCCCTAGGAAACATCCACACATTTCCAGCAGCCTACAAACTAAGTGCTGGGAGAGGGAGGAGATAGCAAAAAGAAAAGACTCCAAACCACTGTGCCTGAGCATCTAACTTTGCCTTCATGATGAGGGAGTCCCACTGCAAGAACAGTTCAGCCTTCAGCAACGACTAAAGCGGCCATGAGATCTGGCGACTTAGGCATGACTGATTACACTTTCAGGTTGGTGGGGTTTTGTTTTGGGTTTTTTTTTTTTTGATTATTCGAATGCCAGAATTACCCTCTTAGCATGGGTAGTGTCAAACCAGAAATTCAATGTGTCATCTGCGGGAATTTAAATGAGGCTTTTTCCCCCCCTTACACTGTAAGTAATTATTTTTTTTTCCCCCTGAGAATCATCATCTGCCACTTGCATCAGCTTCATCTGACACACCAGTACTGAAAGCCTTGAGTCTTGACAGTCTGTAAACCAGCTAAGTTTTACAGCTAATTAAGCCCTAAACCAGTGTGCTATGGAAAAAAGGTATTTCAAAAGAACAAAAAGTTTGGATTCACCACATACCCTGTCGCAATGATGGGCCAGCAACAATAAGTACGAGAGCAACATGCAACATCCCTCTTGTGGGATGCTTGTGCTGCAGATTCTTGAACTCTCCTGGAAGGACTTGGTGAAGAGAGGGGAAGTCTCAAGAAGTCTGCAGGACAAAAAAAGTAATCTAAATATCAAAATTAGTTAGTCTTGTACTCCTGCTGTATCTGCAGGGATACAAACAGTGAGTAGAAGCCTTCCAGACACTATTACTGATTTCAAGAAATACACAAGCAGATCAGGTGTTAACATTTACTTTTATTTATTAAAAAATTGTAGAACGTATTAAATACAAACATTGAAAAAAGCAATCAAGGCTTCGCTAAGATGCCCAGGAAGACAAAGACAGAGAATCAAGAAGCTTACCAGGTTTAGAGTTTTTAAACTAGCTGAAGTAATTACTATAATTTTTCACTGACTCTTTTATAGGCAGTGGCCATTATAGCAACCAATGTTATTACTGTCCATTTTAAAAAACAGAGATATGATTTGCCATATCTTCCCACTCAACCACAAAACATAAGGAAGCAACTCTTTCCAGGTTAAAAATCAAGGTAATAAATACTAATGCATTTCCTCATTACCTATATTGTATTACACTAAACATTTGCTTATAATCACACGTGGATATCAAGTTTAGCCCAAAAAAATCGATGATACATTTCAAATCTGGATATCCAATAAGGTGTTATAAACTTTATACATTTTTCAGTGAACATTAAAATGAGGACAGTAATTTGAAGTACAGAAACAAAATAACTCAATGTATCATCTACGCTATAAAGGTCAACTACAAAGATGTGGACTGGGGTCTAGGCATGTCCCAGATAGCTGGAAAGTCCTAAAAACTGCCACTGAAAGGCTGGTTGGAAGACAAATCATGTCACGTTCTCAGTCTGTATTAGCTCCTCTCCCTTTCTAAAAGGCCAAAGGCGAGAACTGTAGCTACTCTCTTCTGCGCCTTGTGGTAATAAAGGAGTAAACTATCATTTTACTCTCTACGTAGACAAATGAGATTCAAGGTTCCTTGGGGTGCTGTTGCTCTTTTGCCACTCTCAAATGCAGTATACAGTACATACAGACCACTAAACAAGATGTAGAAGCAAAAGACTACAGAAAATATTTATTTGCCTTTTAAAAAGGGAAAAGTACTTCCACTTGCTGACAATATGGCACTCCATCTTCCTGCTTTACCCTGTTTCTGCTTTTGAGCTGCAGCATAATGCACATTGATGTGGCTATATGACCCTAAAGCCAAACTCAGTTCAAAAAAACAGAAAAAATTCTATTTGTGGGACTAAGTCTTTGGGGACAACCAAACTATCAAAAAAATCTCATACAGAATAATCTTGAACACAGAAACATTAACAGATGTCTCCCATTCTGCCCTGCAGTTGTCAGAACAGAAGAAAGAACTGCCAACTTACCAGCACTCACAGGTTACCACCGCAAGAACGAGAGTGCCAGAAGTGTTACGGGACACACAGTGTTGACAGTCAGCTACAGGATGGACTGACTGGCTACCTGCAAGAGCAGAGGCAGAATGCTTCTGACAAAGCTGCCCTTTGGGGCCAGGCTGAAGTTGCACTATGTATCCTACTGCGAGTAGAGCATTAAACAAATGCACCGGCATCCTGAACACGTGTCAGACCCTGTTACCGAGGAAAGCGTTTCCCAATTCCCACATCCGCTCTCAGAGCGCAGAGGGGACTGCCAACATGGGCACTGCTGTGCTGGAATTCCTAACCAGCCCATTATTTGCAGATCAACATCATCAAGAAGAGCCAAGTACTCCTCTTACCAGCCAAACACAGAGCAGTTGCTGGATATACCAAATAGGCAGTGGTTCATTTAGCAACACGCTTGAAACCAAAGTCAATTCCAGCACTTCTCCCAGATCCAAGAGCATCTCTTACTGCAGCACAGACATGGATTATCCTGCTCTCACTGCGTTCATTGCACTTAAAGCACTTAGTGCAATGAACCCTGATGGAGGCTTGGACTCAGATGCAACTGTCAGGCCAGTTCCATCCCATTCCCTTTTTTCCTTTTTGGCAATTATTGATATGCAAGATCTGTATTTCACAAGCCATAACATACATTTTTTTAAGATACTTAACAGATATTTAACAGCCAGAGCTTACTTGACCCCAAAAGCCTTGCTCCCATCCAAAGAATTCACTGCCACCCAAAGCAAGCAGGGAATCACATGAAGAGGAAACTTGTGAAGGGATGGGAGGTCAGAGTACTGAAAAAATTGGAAGAGACAACAGTTTATTTAGTATGCTGACTGCTTCCTGCTTAGTGCTCAGCTTTTAGCATTATACACACCACATTTAAACAAATGAGGGGTTTGGTTTTGTTTTTATACCCTGGCTGTTTGGGAGGCGTTTTTTATTCTCTGGAATCTTCAAGAAAAATAGGCCTTTCATCTTCTGAGTCAAAGACAAGAAACCATGATCTTGGCATAAGTGCCACCCCCCATTACACTATCAGAAAGCAATACACCACCCAGCATCCCTGGTGACACACTTGAAGTTTCACTCTTAGAACACACTTTAGAATGGCTCCATTCCAGAAACACACAATGCTACCAAGAGCAGAGTATGGCCCCTAGTTTCAACCTAGTTTAAAATATATTTTACAAATGCATTCCTACAAATCTGATCACAACAAAATATATAGTGGTTTTAAAATGGCAGAAAGTTGAATTCAAACAACTCAATTTTTAAACCAGTGAGAAATACAGGCAACTCTAAAAGAAAACAATGACCTTCTCAAATACAGACATTTGTGAAATATACATGCACACACACTCAGACACACACACATCCCCACTTACTTCACTCAGTGTCAGATTAAGATTACACAAGGCAATTTTCAAGGTTGCATTTACAACCACAATGACAAGAACAGCATTTTTGAGGTAGCTGAAGTCAAAGAGCAAACCACAGCACAAGCAAAGAAGCAGGTGCTCGCACTCACACCGAGCCCACTCTTTGGAGACACGTTATCATGTGCGCAGGGGCGTGTGTTGAAGAGGCACGTGTTCCACGGGGAATGAAGTTCAGCGGCACTGGAGACCTGATAAACTATTCTCTAGAGAAGCTTATGTTGGGAGACCAGATGCACAATCAAGAAGGGACCACGGCTTAAATCACTGCACATCAGCTGAGCTGTGGTAAGTCTCGGTGCTCTTGGTCTGCGGCAGTTCTACCGACAGCTCTGTCTCACGTGCACTGAAGCAAGTACAACCGTGGCAGTTGAAGATGTTATTACTCAGAGCTGTCTGTCCCACCTCTCTCCTAGATGCTACTGCTGGTAGAAAGGTACACGTACCCATATCTCACCTGCTCCTGTTTGCAGTCTAGCATTCAAGTTCAAGCTCACCTCCGCGGTATTATTTGCCAATGGACTGTGAACAGGAGCAGCAGAGACACAGGCTTGAGTTCCCTTCTTCTGGTGCAATAACACCTTTGCCACATTAATAGTGCAGAGACGTTAAACTGCCACAGCTTGAATCACCAGACTTCATCTCTCAGAGCCCTTTGCTAGCCTACAACAAAAGGAGTTGAGCTAACCTCACAGCAAATGCCAGGCAATGTGGGCATAAAGAAATTATAGCTGTGGCTGGATGACAAACTGGATCAGCCACAGCAACTGGATCACATCTCTGGGCATACAGAGAGCTTGATCCTGCCCAGATCATAAAACTGTGTGAAACACACTCATACACACACACATAATGTACTATTTTCATCATGAAGCTTTCTACAAATCAACTGTTTGCATGATTACTGCTGAGAGTCTTGAAGATGGGATGGAAATTATGGCAAGATGTTTTTCAAAGGCAGAAAGAAAAAAAATCAACCTCCTATGGTTAGGTCTCTGTTGTGTAGTTGCTGTACGAGAGAGATGGCACAGATGAGAAGTTGTTATTCCACTGTCTTCCCCCAGTATTCTGTTGCAACTCTGCCTGCTCTTTATATTTGCTCAGAAGATTTTTGGCTTCTTGCAGATCCTGAGAAGAGTTTTCCCCATATTCTTCTTTCAGCCACTGCCTGAACTGCAGAAATTGAACATACGTATACCATATGATGAAACAGTAACACGAGACTGATGCAGAAGTAATACTCACTCCTGTCCTACAGAATTTTAAGAACACAAGTAGTTTAAAGAAAAGTGCTCCAGTTATTGCATGTCCTTCAATAGCAGCACATAATACATAGGCACAGGAACACACATTTGAAATCACCAAGATCCCTTAAGTCCCCTAAAATGACACACCTGCATAACAGCTTGTCTGACTGGAGTAATATGGAGTAAGGGCAAGAACATCCTGGACTTAAAAGCACCCTCCTCCTGTTGCATATACAAACAATAAAATGAATTAGCATGGAAGCCAATATGATCAGCCAACTTGCCCAAGTCACAACAGACCACAAGAAGGTTGAAGATCAGGAAGTGAACCATTCATATGGGTTTTTTTATCCTGAGTCCACAAACACCAATAGTAAAAAATGTACTGTAGATATCAGAAAAGGTAGCTTCCAGGAAGAAAAAGTCCAGGAGCTTTAAAAAGTATAGAATAGGACACTATATATTACTGACATGAATGACTGAACATGGTACATGGTAACAGATGTACCAGGTCCAGTTGAAGGTCAGCCCAGCTCTGTATCCTGGTATGACAGCAGCCAAATGTAAATGTAGAGGAAAGAATCAGGCAATGGCAGGGCAATAATGCTGGGACCTTTTCCCTGGTCGTTTCCTCAGCTTCTAGCAATTTTCAGCTCAGGTACTTTTGGAGGCTGAGGCAGTATCTTCATGTTTGATAGCAACAAATTAATTTTTCTGCCATGAGATCACTTTTTGAATACACAAATTTTTACCACATCTGGGTGCCAACAAGCCCCATGTATATAAAAACCCCTCTTCCTTTACTGGGACCTGCCAATTGTTAGCTCCATCTCACATTACAGGGAAGAGTGGAAATTCACTTTCTCTATTCCACTCAATTTCATAGACCTTTATTAGACCCTTCTCCGTCATTTCTTTGCCAGTTGAAGAATTTGAATCCACTTAGTGATTCCTGACAATCTTGTTGCTCTTCTCTGCAGAAGCAGCAAGTAGACATAGACCCCAGCTGTTCTGTCCCAGTGGGGACAATATTCATTCTTCAAGCCTTAACTTTCATAGCTTTGTTCTGTTTGGGGCTCATGGACAGCTTAATCCATAAAAATCATGTACTAAGACATTGGGAGACAAGACCTCAACATAGTTACCCCCTCCCATTCCTAAAAGATCATAAGGTCCCAAGTCAAATCTGAAGCTTCAGGCGACCATGTGGAAGTTTGGAATTGGTGCAAACCGTGTTGCAACCTTAGAGACTAAACCCCTTCCTGTAAGACCAAGATCTAAAGGACCCCATTCCAGAAACCTCACACGATACCCCCCTACAGTGGCACAGCAAAACACCCATGCTACTGAAATCAGAAAAAAGTTCACACCCTTGGCAGATGGCGTTATTCCACTGAAATCAGGTGTGTAAACAGACACCTGCTAAGGATGTGGTTGCTGTTAAGAGACAGTAGGAAACTACAGCCCAGCCAGTGACTACAGGTGGATATTTCTTTTTGCAACCTACTGCCTCCCCCTCAGTGAAAAAAGGCAGAATGTGCCGTCCATGGTGGATGAAAAAAAGAGAGACGTTACTGTCTTTATCAGGCTATTTGCATATAGCCTTAATTGTCATTGCTGTTAGCCCAGACCAATTAGAGTAGAAATGACTGTAAGGGAGGAAGGAGACAAGTCTGGAAAGTCCCCCTCTGACTTTTGTCTCTTAAAAATCAGTTACGCTACCATTTACACCAGTTCCAAACGATCCAGGAAACATTCAGTTAAATATTAAAAAAACGCAAATATTTACAGTTGCAAACTGCATCATGCAAAACAAATGGTAATTTCTAAACTCTGAGCTTTCTGCAGCAGAATGGCAGGGATGGAATAAAAAAAAAAAAAAAACCATCCTTTGCCTCAAGTATTTCGCTTTCCGAGTTTGGTTTGCCTCTGTTGCTGTTGTTGATTTTTAATAAGCACAACAGGCACAAAAGCCCAGAGAACAGCAACACGCTGAGCAAGGGAAAACAGAGGGGATGGCCAGAGTGGGTTGTTAACATAAGTGGGAGTCACCGGTCACCCCCAGGGAGCAGGTCTTTTGCGTGGGATGGTTCTTTATAGGGGTAAGAAACTAATTTTTGTTTTATGAAAACCATTTTTCAGTCTTACTGTTTCCTGAATTCTCCTAGTCCTACAAAGCCTTCAAAGGTTAAGAAGAAAAAAAAGGGTCAGATTTGAGACTGTTCTACACATCAGAAAATGTATTAAGTTTCTGCCACAGAAGGTGGGGGGAACATGACACGTAAGTCATAATGAGAATCTAGTTTAACTCCTGGATAGCAAAGATTTCTGATTATGGTTTCTTTCCTGCTTACTATTCCAAATGAATGTGTTGGGGGGAAGCCCACTATTTTTATGCAAGTGGTACTTATAGGTTGGTCTTTCTGCTGTGTTCTGAGCAAATCACTCTCCAGTTTACCCCTCTGAAGGTGTCAGTCTTGTACTGTGCCTTAGCACACATGAAGCAATCAGTGGCTGAGAACACAGATAGGCAGGAGATGTTTTGATGTTGTGCTTCATCTCTTCTCCCATCCAGCATTCCCCAATACCTTCAGTTCTATCCGTACCTCCCCAGTAGAGCAGGCTTGTCTGAGAAGCCACTCCCTCAAAGCAAAAACAGGGAGCCAGATAAACCACCCAGGCCTCAAAGTAATGAGAAGCAGCCCACGATCTAAGACTTGGGATTGTGTTTCACAGCTCATTTGTCTCTAGTTCATCTACCTGATCAACATCATGTTTTTCAAAGTCCTGTAGCTGTCTCTGGAAGCCCATGTTAGGATTGGCACAGGATCTCGCTGCGCGGACAACAGACAGTGCATCTTCCCAACCAAAGTCCGTGATGGTCATGATGTAGGCAACTACCAATGTTACACTCCTGGAGACACCTGCAAGGCTACATGAAAAAGGAGGTGCAATAAATTGAAGTAGTGCTGTACTTCATATATCACAGTTAAAAGCATCACTTCCCTACATCACAGCAGACTGCTGTGTTGCTTGCCACTAGAAGAAATATTACAGTATTTGAGTTAAAAGGTTTTGGTGCTGCTTTTCCAAATGCATCTGAACAAATCTATGACTATCAAGAAAGTGGGTTCTGAGTAGTAATTCATATGAGACTGAAGAGGAAGAAATAAGTATTAAGTCTTTGCAAAACCAGGGGACAGTGCACATGTTCTAAGTTAGATTTGTTTTTCAATAATCTAGAAATAAGTCACCCACTTTCTTCTGTCTATATAGGTTAGAGCAGTGAAATAAGATCATTCTCTCTCCACCATAAATAAAGGCCTAAATTTCATGGGGCCAAAATGAACTTTAACTGAACTACTAAAGTACATATGTCTGGTTGCTTCAGCTCTTTTCCTGTTTCTGTTATCCATGCACTGCACAACTTCAATTTTCAAGACAGATTCCCCACGTGAGACACTGGGATAAAGTAAGAATCATTCACTATTACTATTCCGACAGCGCTGGACAAAACACTCCCAACAATTACTATTGTAAGTATAAAGAATGTATTTGAGATACACTTGTACCAGACTCTTTCACTTGACATTTCAAGAACATTTATGCTTTTGAAATGCTTCACAAATTTAAATATGTTTTTTAAAACTCTATAAGAATTCAGACAAATTGTCTCTGTTTTACATGCATTGAGACTGACCAAATGACTCGTACACAGCCCTATCATGAGTCGGTAGCAAACCGAGGATTTATGCTCAGGGCCTGTGTACAAATCCAGTGTTCAAATCACAAGATGACTGTGATTCCAGATATAGACTCAGATGTGTCACTTGGACATACAGCACAAAGACGACAACCAATAGCAGAGAGCAAGAAAAAACCCGGGGTGGGATTTCCTTTTCTATTCTCTCCCGTCTCAGGAGCATCTCTCCAATCAGAGACTTGCTGTTAACAAATGCGACTTTTGAATGATTCAGCAGTTTAAAGAAAAAAAGACCCAAAAAATCAATTTCTGTTCAGAGGAAATTTTTTTTAACAACTCTGAAGTCACCAAAATAGCTGTTATAGAAACTAATCAAATTATTTGGATTATGGATATCATCTTCAGAAATACAGTGATTAAAATAATGGAAAATAAATAATACGTCTCTGGTCAATATATCTCTAGTCAAATCAACCCTACAAAAAATTTCAATCAGAGGAGGTCAAGAAGAATTTTTTGGGCCCCTTTAATCTCCAGGCAGTTGCCCTCTCAGTGACCCAAAAGTCCTAGCATGAGGCTATAGTAGCATTTGTAAACCTGCTGGGGCGCTTCAAATAAAGGGGGCATTTCAGTCCAAGAGGGTTTTGCTATACCATGGAGATGAACACTGACTTATCATTAAAATGACGCACATCCAAATCAAGGTAGAGAAACCCTTAAGAAGTTTTTTTAGCAAGTGGTATACATACCAATGAACTAGGCAGCCTTCACCTGTAAGCCGACACTCATGGATAAATTTGATGCTCTCTCTGAAATGCCTTGCCCTGAAAACAGAAGCAGAAGAGGAATAAAGAAAGTGCTCTATTTAGTAAAATCACTACTTAGAAAGAGAGAAATGTATCCAAAAGCTCATTTAATACTGTCAGGAATTTAGACTGAATACAGGTCTTACAAGGTAAAAGTTAGTGTCTGCCAATGAAACACAATACTCACTGGCATAGTTACTCTCCACTCTACCTAAAGAAGAAACTGGTATCTTAGGCACTACAGTGTGATAAACATTAACACACGCTTTATTCTGATGACTGTCAAGTCTGTATTTCAGTTTGTGCTTTATTCCTCTTTAAACCAGTAACTTGACCTCACATGTCCCTGCGTATGCTCAGATGTCAGATGAAACGCAGCATGACTACATGAACAGTTCTCAAGGTATATTGTTTCTTACAAAGAGGCATCCACTACCCGTTACTCAAATTTACACTTAACTTTGACTTCACCTCCTCTGTCAAACCATGTAGTAGGACACATCTAAATGTTATGACTTTCTTCTTTGCAACATGAAAGCTCTCCCTTTTGTCCCTGTTATGAAAAATTTCTCAATTCAAGCCCTGGCTTCTTCAGCTCCTTCCATTTTCCTCCACTCAGACTGCAGTACGCCTTCTGTCTGCCCTTAGTCATGGTGTCAGCTAACCCCTGCCTACAGCCTACCTTTTTTAAAGCAGTGGAGCAGAAAGTGTGAAGAAGGTAAAGACTCAGTTTACAAACACTAAGGTTTGTACTCTGATAATCCTTTACTCATGCCTCTTCATTTTAAGTGGGGCAAGTCTGAAGGAAAGTAACTGGGGCAGCTGTCATAATCTCAGTAAATCTACAGCATCGCCTCTTTGCATCCCAGTCCCAAGTTGCTCACATTGCCTCTGCCTTTCAGACTGCAAAGCCTTTGGGGCTGCCTGAAATTTATCACAAGTGCATGCAGCACCTCTTAATTCAATAGAGCTGGAGTTCAGTGTGGTCTCTGAGTGCTCTTGCAATTTAAGCTCACAAGCAGTAGCAATGTGTGAAACACAGACAGAGGAAAGAGCTTCTTAAGGGGCAGCCAGCACCAGACTTACTGGCAAAGACAAACCTGAAAGCACACTGCGCACAACACCCATGAAACACAAAGTCCTGTATTCAAGATGTTTCCCTCTCAGGGTGAATATTATACCACAAGGGTAAAAGAAAAAAACCTCAGCCCAGCACCAGCAGCCACACAAAAATCAGGAATACCCACATAAAAGGAAGCGTCCCTTCCTGCCCAACAGTGCAGCTGCTGATACTATAAACACTCAAGACCCGGAGAAGGACAACAGTGATGCACTAGCGTGACAGCACCTGCGGAACTTGCAAAGGCAATGATGTCTAAGCTGAAATATCGAAAAATGGGGATCCCAAAGCCCAGGACTCCCTGTCCAAGGCAACATGGAGAACACAGCTGGTGAAGATTTGAGTGACTTATTTGGAAAATATCAAGGTATGATGCAATCCCAAGCTTTAGGACAGCATGTCAACTCAAGATTTTATGTTTTATTGTTCAAGAAACCAATCAAGTATGTGGAATAAATGAAGAAAAGGCACAAAGGCTTACGGATGCATTCCTAGTCAGACTGGCACTCCAAAACATTTTCCCTGGCTGAGTCCTAACAAATCATGGTGCACAGATCTGCCTGGGGGACACGAGCAGCTTCACATAAATGAACCTGGAGGACAAACGAGATGTTTGGCTGTGTGCACAAGAAGCATTGCTATTGCACAATGAAGGAGCAGTTATCCGAGATTGAACATACTCAGTCAGGTGAAACTTGGTTAGGGCTAGATTGACAACATCCCAATATTCTCATACACCCATCTTTTCTCTTCTCTCTAGAAAATCTGGACAACAGTGCAGCTCCAAGCACCAGTGAATTCATTTCAATGGTCCAGCACAAGTTTTGGTTAAACACTTCAATGCTTTGGTTTGAAAAATATCTGTGAATGAACGCAACACCTTTGCAAGGTACTAAATATAGCTAGCAGTGAACTCTATTCACTCAGTTTTATTTACCCTTCCTTACTGCTGACACTTGGTCTGCTGGAAACACTGTCAAGTGTAAGCGTTTACAGACATTCATTAAAACAAGAAGAGAAATAGCCAACCTTAGAATTCGTGCTGCACTGTAGAACCATGGCCCCTCCTCGCCTCGAGTCAGAGAAAAGGAGAATGTACTCCTCCACAACCCTATGGTATTGGGGTCTCTGCTGGCTCCAGCAGACACAGTTGCGTCAACTCATTTTCAAAGTTATGGTACAAACCATATTTACATGAAAACTAAGGTGGAGGACCAGTTACCTGCGAGACAAGTGCCAGACACAAAGAAGAATGGCAAGTCTTACATTAACCACAAAACAGTTGATTATCATTTGTAACAGGAAAGCACTTGACAAATGTGTTGATTTGCAGCCTATTTGTTGGACTGAACAGTTACTTCAAGGCAATTTATTACATGATATCTAGCTTTTACATCTTCCAGCTTAAAACTGGGTCTTGACCTGCATCATCTTCACAGTGGGAAAACACCACAGGAAGAAGAACCAGCACAGTGCCCCCACCAGCATGTTGTCAAAGTTATCTAAACTTATGCATTAGCAAGCTGGATAATCCAAAACTAGGCTGAGGGCAGAGTTATGATACCATATCTACATACACATTTGAGGCTAGTCAGACTTCTACAACTATTATAAAGGTTAAAAAGAAAGCATCTAAATCAGACAGGAAGAAGCACCTTGGTGTTTCTTTCCTTTGGCAACATAAACGCAACAAAGATCACCTAAATTTCTTTCTTAATAGGTTATCTGGCTTCTGTATTATCACCACGAACAGCCTGACCCCTGGAATCCTTAGAATCGTGTAGCCTAAAACAATTAGCTGGAATGGACAGAAAGGAAAGATTTAATTTCTATAGAATTAACTTTTTAGGAACACATTCTATAGAAGATGACATTTATGGAGAAGTCAATGGCCCAAGGTAAAATTCTCACAGTCCACGGCTAACACTCTTTTAACACCTAGAAAGCACCTCAAATCTCAAAAGCAGTTGCTTGATTCCTGTGCTTTGTGGGGGCAGAACATGGGAGTAGAAGGAAGCTTTTGAGACACTTTAGTGAACATGTTAACAGGGGAATCCCTGCTGTATTTCCCTGGCAATTCATTCCTCTGATGAAGTAAGCTCCACTAAACAAGCTTACTAGGAGTAAACGTGCATTATGCACATCAGAAACCAGAAGTTTCCCCTCACAAAAACGGAGCTCAAGTGAATTAATAGCTCACAGTCCCAAAACTCAGTGGCTAAAGGCTTTCAGTTGGGTCTTACCAACCTGCCAGCAGTTGCAAAGTAGCAGCAAACCTTCTGACAAACTTGCTGTTGGGAGAGACAGACAAAACAGCAGTGTGTATCTGGTCAGTTGTGCCAGTCAAGCATTGCTAAGAAAATGCAGTGACCTGCAATAGAGAATGCTGCTTTTTTTTTTTTTTTTCCCCTGATACAACCAGAATCTCTCTTTTGAAAGAAGAAGGTAGATACACAAAGATGTTGCAGAGGGACCAATCCACTTTCCTGTTCCCCAGGTATCCCTCCCTCCACAGAAGGCACCAGCAGTATGGTTAACCGCTCCCAGGTAAGATTGTGTCAAATCCTCACAGACTGAAGAAGACAGCTTCCTTTCAGAAGATTACATGTGCAAAGCAAGCAACATTGCTCTTTGTGAGCATCACAATTTGATTTTACTTGAAGATCTGGACTGTATAAAGCAAAAAAGAAAAATCGGTTACTCATCAAGTTTTATTTTAAGTGATAAAATGTATCAGTATTAGAAGTAATGACGTTTGCTTGCAACCACCTGATACCAAAGCAAGTATTTTAGATGCCTGCAGCGTAACAGAAACAATACTCATGCAAATATTGTATCTTCTTACTGAAGCTTTAATAGCTTTGGTACTGTGCCAGACAGCTCAAGCGCCAAAGGTGGTTTTTCAGTATAACTCCTTGATATTTAACAGTGAGGGAGGGGCCGTATTATACATTGATCAAAGTTCATCACAAATGCCATCCTTTCTATTTCCTTTCCTAGTTGCTCCAGATCTCTATTAACAAAGGAAGCAGATCTGCAAAACATCTTCAGAAATGCTACAGATCAGAATGCCAAGAACTAATATGACAACATGTGAATGTTTCCCTCTAATCTCATTTTTTTCCTTCTTAAAAGGATTTTTTAAAAACATTTATTTATTTTTATTTATTTTAAGTATTAAGGCCACAAAAGTTATCCATGACAAAGGCAGTTAGCTGTCTGCCGCCTTATTACAGTCCTGTCTTGAAATTTAGGGGTTTGGGGTGGTTTTCGTTGGGGGTTGGGCGGGTTTCGTTGGGGGGTTGGTTTGTTTGTTTATTTTCCCCCTAAAATCACAACAGAAATGCAGAATGAAAAGGCAAATCACCGCACATCAAATGCCATACTGGAATCTTCCTAGGGCATGAGAAACACATTCTCCAAAAATATCCCCCGAAAGCATGAGGCGGAATATTGCTGTGATGTGAGAGAAAAACCAGTGCTGCATTTCCTTCCGTACCTACCAGGCCTCTTTCAACTACTTGTTTCTCTACAAAACTTGGTAGCAGGATGTGGCTGAAACGCCCCTCACCTCTCCTCAATATAAACTGTGAGCTCTAGAAGAAAGAGTTGGTCACCATCCAAGTTCTCTTACAAAACCTGTTTTGATTTCTCTTTGGAATCGAGACTTGCTATGCTTAATGGTTCAAAACATTAAAACCAAGGGCAAGTCAATTAGCGTTTCATGAACGTTAGCAGAGATGAGAAAGAACAAGGCTGGGACACCCTAGTTTCAGTACATATATCCTCAAGGCAAGAGTCACCGCAGGGCAGAAAATCCCCACTGTGTCAGCCTACTACAAAGAGCAGCAGAGCTTTCTAAGGCAGGTTCAAGAAGTCCAGAGCAGATAGTTGCAGGGGTAGTTTGCACACTGGGACTTTATCTCGAAGGCTCACTGAGAGGAATTTATTTCAACCCTTGAAGCATCAGGCTTCATACCTCTTTCAAATATTTTCTTTTTGTTAATGGCTGGAGGTAGCGTTAACAAAAAAGAACACCCAAGCAAAAGGATTTGCAAAAACAATGGCTAGAATAAACCAGGACTAAATCAGGAGCAGACGCACTAAGGAATTCCTGAAGTTTAAGGCCACAAATAAAGAGTGTTTACATACTGACCCTCCTACAAATCCTTACAAAGAAAAAGCAGGGTCTGAACCAAAGCAGCTGGAATAAAGCGTTACTGTGTTTTCTTAGTGGATTAAAAAACACATTTGTGTAACACTTGAGAGATCAGAATCAGATCTTTCAGTTCACTGTAAAACAGGCAACACAGTACTGAGGGATTTCTGGGGTTTTGCAATTTATTTTTAAAGAAAACTTACAAGTTCTGTGAGGGTGAGTCAGCAGCAGGAATGCACAGATACTTCACTCCCTGTGTAAAGAAGCAAAAAGGAATGAGAAGAAAATACCCAAGTTAAATACATTTATCTACCACCACACCAGTCCCGCTCTTGACTGGTGCAGTTTTACTGACTTTGAGGAAGGCACACCATTATTCAGACAAGCAGAGATCATCTCTACACAGCCAGATTTTAAAATGCTGTTTTCACAGCTGCTCTGTTGCTAAGACACCAGCACATAGCTTAGTCATGCTTATCCCAAGGCCCAATAGTGAGCTTTTTAAAACAGAAGGAACTTTATTAAAAAGGTGTAAAACTCTTTTTCAAAATCTCTTTCTTCTTACATTTCTAGTAAAACTAAGTTGCGTCTTTTCCTGCCCTTCCCTTTCTCTGAATAGATTCTACAACCTAAAATTGTGATAAGCAATTTGTTTTGATCCCATGCAATTATTCGTATTTGCCTAGTTGATAAACCAAACAAAACGCATTTCAGAGAAGAAACATGTCTTTGGTATGGGTTTTGCTTTTTATTTTAGGGAAACTTCAAGAAGAACACCTGTAAAACTCATACTTTTCTTCCAGAAAGTTAGCCTCACTTTCTTAGTCAGCTATTGTAATAAGTTACAAGATCAATTAGGGAAGTTAGATAACCATTTCTGATGCATTAAAAATGTTACTGGGTATATTTAAAACAACACTATAACCATACACTACTGCTTTGCATTGTCAACGCTCATTTTAACTGTCATTTTATTTTCAAAGCTTGTTTTGCTCCTATGACTGTTAAGAAAAAGAACACTTCTGAAAGCATATTTAGCTAACTTCTCAAATAGGACTTCCAAGAATACAGGTTGCAGCTCAGACATACAAAAACTAAATCATTCACTGGAAGTCTTTCGACTTCTCAGATGCAGTGTTATGAATTTTTCAGATGTACTTGTAAAGACAAGGATTCACAGCAAAAGGTCCACCATAAAATGCACCTTAGTTTATCTTTCTGTTTCAACACAAACCCCAGTAATAATCCTGCATGTTCAACAACACACAGGGAAAGTCACACATTTATCTGTAAGAGATCCTTTGCCAACAAGGTGGAACACAACATGCAGCTACCAGGCATTTAATCTGCCAGCTGGGGTGGCGGGGATGAATTTTCATTGCCCAACTATGACGGCTACCTGAGGCAGCATCTTCTCCACCACCACCTTTGCTTTGCTGGCTCAGAAACCTCTCTTCATTTCCCCTACACACACTTTGCTACTTCACTTGCCATCTCACACCAAACAGCAGTCCCTTTTATGAGAGGTCCTGACCCCTGGTACCATGATATGCCGTCATGCTAATCCTCTGCAAGATGCATGAGCTTCAGCACTATGTCAGACAGGATGCGGTGATACCTCTTCACCACTACTTACACATGGCACCAGCCACTCTCTTAATCCCCCAGAACTGCTTCAGCCAGTATCTTCTTCACAGCCACACTGATTTGAGAGCCTGCCCTGTCCCCACCACGTTTTACCAGACTTCCTCACCCTGACAGACCACCCCCAGCATGCCGCAACCAGAGGAAAGCTGCTTCTGTCTATGGCCTTCTGGTTTGGGGAAGGCAAAGTCAGAGTGGGGAAGGCTTTGCAGTCAGTGCTAAGCCTGGAGATGGAGATGTGGCAGTGCCTGACAAGGGAGAAGGCACCATCAGGACAACACCAAGCCAGTGACAGCATGTGGCATTTTGTGCGAGAGCTGCATGGCAAAACGCAGCTGAGGGGAGACAGAACGAGAATAAAGTCAGTTTGCAAACCAAAGCAGCTTGCTGCCGGAGGCAAAGGCATCAACAAGTAACAGTCCCTCCTGCCTTGGACCAGGAGAAGGGATGCCTGCTGTGGGAAACAGGGATGGCTCCACAGTCGTAAGCTGATCCACAACAGCTTGCACTGGTACATTCATTTAGAAAGACGATATAGCAGTAATACATATATTGACAGGCTGCTGAGCCAAGGATGATAATTACATTGCGACAGATTAATTACAACAATAAGCATCTTGTATGACGCATCTGAGAGGTTTATCTCGGACACTAGTATCACTTCAAGTGAGTCACTCCAGTAGAACAAGAGCCTGTGACCTGAAAGTAAATTTACATGCTATTCTTTCCCCCACACCCCTAGACAACTCCATGCCACTAACTCTGCACCACCAAGGGAAAAAACAGGAAGAAAATTGAAGGTAGGAGATAGGTTAACTCCAGAGCACACTATATGCCAGAAGGTTCACTCCTCCAGCATGCACTGATGCAAGTTGTTCCACAGATTTCAGAAGCTATGGCACTTGCCAAATGGTTTTCACAAGCTGAGTGCAGAGGGGCTTTCAGATCATGTTCACTTTAAAAGCAGAAGTAGCACCAGCACAAGTTTAAGACCCACAATGTTCTTTTTTTGTCATGGCTGGCTAGTTCCCACTACCACAAGCAAGCATGAAACTAGCCTATGAGAGACCGCACACAGTACTGAATGGCTCATCCAGAGCCTGATCCTGGCAGTCTTTAGCACTCACAACACCAGTGAAGGCCACAGCACACTTTTCACTATTGTGCTCACAAATGCTCAGCATCGGCCAATTAGCTTTACTAATATAGCTTCTCAGGCAGATGGTTAGTTACTGGAATATGTATTTTGACTGATGCTTGTCACTTGTACTGGTGTTTTTGGAAGGCTGTGGTGATGGACTCCTCCCTGTGAGGAAATAATCACATACTCAACTCAGAAATAGTTAGAGGTGGGATTTCAAAAGTGCTGTGCAGTGACCTAACCTGACTCCCACAAAAATCAACAATGAAACTCTCAGTCACTTCAACCCAAACACAGTTTGGCCAGAGTTGATAACTCCTGAGAATCCCACCCTACCATCAAGTTTTGCTTCTCTTGGTTGAAATACTACTACTACTAATAGGATGAAATATCATTCATTGTCATTGCTTACCTGAAATACAACGACAACAAGATTGCATGAGGCAGGTATTAATAAATTAGACTCAGGGGAATTTCTGCGTAGATATGCACAAGTTGACTGCTAGAATTATCATTCCCTCACATATGCTGGACAGACCTTCTTTTTTAAACATATTGGCAATAGGAAGATAATTACTGAACCCTGCTGTCTGTGTCTGTTTATTAAAAAAACTACCCAGGGTCATAATATTTTTTGTATATTTGTGCCCCAAGACACTGCAGTCCTTCCTGTGCACATACCCTGCAGATAACATCTAAGAACTGTCCCAAAGGGACCTTTCAAAGCCAACCAAACAAGTAAATACCTACAACAATTTAGATGGGGTACTAGCATACAAGAAAGAGACATCACTATTTGAATACCTAGCAGTTTGTTTGCCATTCTGAAACTGCAAAGCATAACATGTAAGAAGGCATCAGTCACTGAAACAGAGACTAAAACAGAATAAGCTACCTCAAAAGACTGTTGAAGAGTCAAGCAGACCAGCTCCTAGTGAAAATTTCAACAGGTTCCAAATCAGTACCTAGTCTGCAGTTTCATTAAATAAGCTTGAATCTGGTTGCAGATGCAGCATCCACATTGAACCAAAATTGCATATTAATAAAGATGGGAAGATAAATACAAATTTGATGTCAACCATAGGAAGTCTCTGTTTTATTAATTAATTTTTACATTGACTCTGTTTAGTTCTCTAGGAATGACAATTCTCTAAAAATTATTCAGTGGAGGAAGGACAGAACAACTCAAAACAGGTATTGTACCACTTTACCTACACACATTAAATTAGGTGCCACAGAATAGCTACTCACCCCAAAACATGGTATTTGTTCAAAGTAAAGAGAAAAGCTTGCAGTTATAAAAACTGATGAAAAAATAAATATTATTTTAAATCCTACCTGAAGTAATACATCCACTTTATTGAATACTGCTGCTAATACATTATTATTCAAACATTTCTTCAGCTGACAGTTGTCAGTCATGTCTTCTCTCCAAACAAGCTTTCTTCCAGACTACTGATTTTAAAATAATTTGAAAAAAATCAATCCAAACTTTTTAATTACACAAGTTATATATATTCTGTATATATGGAATGTGTTCAAACCCAAGCCCCTAGATCAAAGAGATGCTGAACACAGCTTTCTGCTACTCATCTCAATTCACGACTACTTTCCACTTGTTACTTTTAAATCATTACTCACTTTCTCCAGCAATCACCTTTACCACCAAACACCCGCACTCTCCAATACCCTACACACACTTCTCTAAACATTTTCCTTATTATTCACATCATGATCCTAACTGATGCCCTCATCAAATAAAAGCAGCACTCGCATTTCTTCTGGTGTATTTAACCAGTTAAGATTACCTCAAAAAAAATTTTTTAAAAAAATCAGTAAAATAAAATAATTTTCTTTTCTGTTTTCTGTTTCAGCAGACAGAATAACCACCAAAACTAGATTTCTGTCCCTCTTAGGCCCTGAAACTAAATGCTACAGTTAAACCGATACAGTGAGAGCTAACAAAACTAGAGCAAGTATTCCGATTTCAAGATTGTCAAAGTTGAAACAAGCGAGAGTTAAGTAAAATTTCTAAAATTCACTGTTATTTGAGAAACAACAACAACACTTGCACAATTTAATCACAGATTCTAGAACCAAGTCAGTTCTGCTGCAGTGAGCATCAAGGTATTAAAAACAAAAAGGTTTAGGCGCACACATATATATGCAGAGGTTTTACGCCACAGTTAATAAGGTATTCATGGAATTGCAGTCATTTTCAAATTTGTAATTATTTTAGAGTTTGGTCTATAAGATTGGAAATTGAACAGCTATCACACATTCGGAAAAGTCGGTATGACTATAGAACACCACCTTCCTAATATCATTAGCTTCTAAGAAAGATAATTCAATTCAAGATAATTTAATTTGTTATTAAGTCCAGTATTTCATGAAGTGCTCTGGAAACATAACAGTCCCGTTTAAGGAACACTGTTTCTATTCTACTTACCTATAATCTATTTTAAAAA